GGCAGGTTCCTGGGGGAAAGGGGCCTTGCCTCATGCTTTCACAGCATCCAGCACATCCAGGTTCTTGGGCAGTAGGAACAGAAATGCAGTAGCAACAAGGCAACCAACCCAACCTTAGAGGACCAGGGAGCCAGATGGCCACAGGCCAATTCATTGCCCTCCCTGGTATCCCCCTCCACAGCAGCATGTCCCCCCTGAGCATGGGAGGGGAGGACGAGGAGGAAAGCTCCTGGGTTGGCCTTGTACCACTTCTCAATCTCCACCGATTGTCTCCTCAGCTAATGTCACCCACCTGTTTGCCCATCTGAACAGTTCTGGGATTCAGCTTCGCTCTCTGTGCTGGCTGCCTCCACAGCTGGCAGCGGGGCCCTAGTGAAGGACTGCCAGGCAACACGAAGGGACCCCAGCAGGTTGTTCTTGAGGTCCATGCTCATGCGGGTCAGGCCTTCCTTCAGTTCTGAAACACAAGGGGTCACCATAAGTGGGAATGCTGTGCAGGGCTGGGACCACACTCACCTGGACAGCAACCTCTAAGAGGAGGCTTGCCTGCCTTACCCAAATGCATCCGCTTCCGGCCCTTGTGATGGGGGAGCAGCATGGGCTCAAACTCCACGTCTGGGACGATCATGGGCTCGATCCTGTAGGCCACGGGGTCGAACTGTGCAGAAGAACAGCAGCTAGTACTGGCTTGTGACCCACATACAGATGCCCCCATTCCCTCTAGGGAGAAACCACTCAGCCTAGGGAATCTTTTACCTGCTGCCGCTTACGGTTTGGAGGCAGGCATCACCTAGTAACAAGGCTAATGCAGAAGGTGCCACTGGAGCTCTAAGGACCAGAGGCAGGTTTAGCTGCCCAGTTCCCATCCACTGTGCTGATTGCAACAAGTGACACAGGGGAAGGGGAACCCAGGGCCCCGACTAGTCACTGGCCTCCCTGTGTGGGTCTGTTGTCTTTTCTCCACTCAGGAGCCAGTGTATGAGCACTAGTCCCGTGACTGCTGATTCCACATACCGGATGAAAGATGTTGAAGAAGCCTTTGCAAGTGGGGAGGCTGTAGCTTGGATCAATCCTTTTCACACCTCGCACAGTGAGGAACATCCCAATGGGTGATCCAAAGGCAAAGAAGATAGCAGGCTTGTAAATGAGCTGTGGGTAGTTGGCTGAGACCTAGCAGAGGTGAGGTAAGAGGCAGTGAGGAGCAGCGCCTCACTTGTCCCTCAAGGATGTAATTGTTTGTTACAGTAGCAGCCATGGCCTAACACTGCTTGGAATGGGAATGAGCTCAGCAGCCTCTGGGACTAGGAGATGGCCAAGGTGCACGGCAGGGAGGAGTGGGCCGGGACCTGTCTGCCCCCACACAGCTAGAGTGGCACATGGATTACTGGAGGGTGTGAGTGAGCTGTGCAGTTACCTGTCCTAAGCTGACATCTGGGTATGGGCAGTTCCTCCTGCTGCCAGCAGAGCCAGGCCCTGTGGATGACTCGGACTCAGTCCTGTGCTCTTCGCTGTTCCCAGCAATGGTCTGTGCCCAATGGTTAGTGTCCTGCAGTGATGGAAACAGGAAACTGCTCCAGTTCTCACCTGGGCATTCAGCGCCACAGCATTCTTCAGCTGAGTAGCTTCTCTTCCCATAAGGCCCTGCTCTCTACTTCTAGTATTGTTACTGAGGCCAGGACCAACACACTAGCTGCAAGCCAGGGGTGGGGACCACTGCACTAGGGAGCTTGTACTGCTTCCTGACAAATGCATGCATAGACTGAAGGAGGCTGAACCACAGCAAGCACCAGTGCCCTATGCTGAAGGGGAGGTGGTTTGTGATGGGAATGGTCACCTCAGCAGACCACGCACCTGTGTCTCCCTTTCAGAGCTGATGTAGTGAAGGATCTTCATCCTCGGGCCTAAGGGAATGCCCATGTCTTTCAGATTTTGCTCTGTACACAGGAGCTGAACAGTAAGTCACAGGCATGTTAGTCACTGCTCTGTTACAGGAGGCAAGCAGCCAAAACGTTACTCCTTTCTCCCTGGAGAAGCCACCTGCTGTTCACTGAGAAGACAGAAGCAGAGCACTTTAGAATGTGGCTCGCAAGGGGACCATTCTAGACACGCTCCTCAGAGGGCGTACCTACGTGAAACATTTACTGCGGAGTGGATTAATTAGCTCTGCAGTAAATGCCGCTTATTTACATATGCACCTTATTTGACCTCGGGAAACTTACAAGTGTAAGTACTGTGGTACGGTGGAGTTTTTTACTCTGCAGTGCCACGTGTGTAGATGCTGACGTGGCTGATTGGGGCATAAGGGTGCTTCAGTGCGGGGGCTGCCTGCCAACTATCACTGCATTGGAGCACTCTCGTGCGCCAGCCAGCCTCTGTAGCAGATGGAGCTGGAAGGTGAGGGGGAGGAGCCCTAGGCTGGCAGGCTGACCCCCCCTCACCTCCCTGCCTGTTGGGGATGCTCTGACCGGGCTCAGTGTGCTGCGGTCCTGGGTGCATATTCAAACAGCATGCCTGGCAGCAATAAAGACAAGCACAGTAAGAACTGGAGTTTATTACTGCCCATTAACTGCACATGTAGACATGCCCAGAGTGTGGCAGGGAGGGCCCTGAAATCAGTCCCAAGTGTGCATTAAGGAGAAGTGCCTCCAAACCACCCTGCAGCTAAAGAAGCATTCCTATAGAGCAAAGTCCAAAGCCTCTGAGTCTATGAAGTGCTTGGCCTTAGCATCACCAGTGCTCTTAAGAAGGACTCAGGGTGCATCAACGCAGGAGCTTTACTCCAGCTGACCTTGAAGAAACAGGTGTGTGAAAATGCTCCAGACACCTGGGCACTAGGTGCAGGGGGACAGCAGATTGGCACGTGAGTAATAAGATGTGCAAGAGCAGCAGCCACCCTGCTAGGACGGTGATTTACCAGTGCCTGTCTGTCCATTCTCTCCTTCTCAAAGACTGTGCTGTATTCAGACAGCTCAAGCTTCTCCAGGATCTCCTTCACACCGCTGGCATCTGCCCCATGGCTTGCACTCATCTGGGACCCCTGTGAATACAGACAGGTGGGTAGTGGTTACAGCTAGCCTGCAACAACACTCAAAAGATTCTCTCTCAGGATTGATACTGGGCAGCAGAGTGCAGAGGACCTGCAGTCACTCTGCTGCACAAGCAGGGGAACACAGCTGTGCAGTGACCAACCCGCCCTGCACTTTGCCCTGCAGCAGTTATCTGTGCCAGCACTGGCATGGAAATGTAGCCCGTAGATTACACCCTCAGTCTGCAGGCTAAGGGACACACACAACCAGTGGAGAACTTACCTTTTCTTTGCCATCTTCATCCTCCGAGAAAGCTTTCTGATTTGTCAGGAGGTCAAACAGTATAAGTGATCCTAAGAAAACATCCACATGTTGCCACTGAGGAGAGTCCCAGGTCTCGCACACAAATCTGCACATTTACAAGTCATGTCCCTTCCAGGGTGAGGAGGAAGTGGGGGGTCTCTCCTGCCTCTCCCACAGAACTGAACTTGGATTCAAAAACCAGACCCCAGACTTTGTACTAAGTGCCTGCAAGCAACATCCTGCAGATTGACCATGCTTGGTCCCCTCACCAGGCTGCACCCCTTACCTAAGCTGTGACCTGCAATGGACACCCCGCCTTTATAGTCAGGGTTTCTCTGCAGGAAGAGCAGATACAGGCGATTCATCTCAGAAGCGACTGTGTCCACAATGGTTTGGCAGTAGGTGGCACTGTTGTAGAAGAAGACGTCCAGGATTGTGTCATTGATGAAGTGACGTAGGCGATTGATGCTCGGCAAGGTGATTCGCTCCAGGTCTCTGCACACAGGGCAAAGCAGCATGCTGAGGGAGAGTGCAGGCACCAGAACCAACTACAGCAATTACCTCCTGGGTTTCTGGCCTGAAATCCCAGCCTTGGCTAAGTGCAGAGAAATTCTGCCACTGGCTTCAACGGGGCAGTGTTTCATCACTAATCCTGGTTATGAGACCAGTCCTCAGGATTAGAGCGGAGAAAAGCTCTGGATACAAGGTCCATGCCTTCCCAGTAGTTCAGCATGTGTATGGCACTATGCTTATGCACTGGCCGTGCTCCGTTCCCTTCCCCCCATGAACCACAGAACAGGGTTTTTTTAGCTGAAAACTTTCTTCCGAGGGGAACCAGGTATCCAACTCCCAGTGACTTGCTCTCCCTTCTTGTAACATGAGTGAGGACCAACAACTTTATATGCTTGCAGACCATCAGTGGTGTGTTTTAAACCTGGAATAGGTCTGGCTGTGTCAGACAACTGGACAGGTCAGCGCTACAGACAGTACCCAGGCCCCACTGGTGTGCAGTGGTACTAGACCAGGTTTCCATTGCTTTAGTCAGCACCCACTGCAATGGGTGCAACCCCAGTACTGCAAGAGAGACTTGCGCGTCTACTCAGGCAACTGCTGCAGCTCTTTTCTCATAAGCAAGAATTTACTTACACGTCCACCCCTGTGGAGTGCAGGCGGCTGTGCCAGTTCACAGGTAGGAACTCCACCCGGCCGATCTGCTGCTGCTCCTGGGCTTTCTTGAAGTGGGCTTGCAGCATGCTCAAGGAGACAGCCCGGAAATCGTTCACTGGGAAGAAAAAGAGAGCACTGTTTCAAGCTCCGATTCAGCCAGTTCCCCAAATCAACCTATTGCACTCACTGTGCTTAGTGAGGACATTGGTGACTGAAACTCAGAAATCCCGCCTTGACCTGAAGTAGTTTAACCTGCTCTCGTTCCTTGTAACAAGACAGGCACCATGCTGAGCCCAAGCGTACCCTGGCTGTCACTGTTCCCTCTGTGAAGGCCAGCATCCCCCTGCTTGCTTGCCCTTTCCAGGAGGAAACACAGAAGTTGCTCATTTCCCTGCAGCTCTGTGCACTCACCACATTGAACGATGCTTCGGAACCGGATGTCACACGCCGGCCCAATCCCATGAACTACAAAAACCAAGTGGTCGATCTGCTCGGGCTCTCCTGAGAGGGGGAAAAACAATTAACTTAGTTTCTGTAACAAGCCCAGCACCTGTTGATCTGCCACGCTGTCCTTTTGCCTGCTGCACAATGCCCATGGAACCCTCAACAGTTTGAGCGAGAGAGGGAGTCACAACAGTCCCAAGTACAAGGGAAAAGTTTGGCTCTGTCACTGCTTTGGATCACAGGTACAACAACGATGCTTCGCATTGCTGAACAGCTTTGCGTACTTGAAATATTACACAAACCCCTCCCTTGCCCTCACTCCAGGAAGTGAAAAGCCTTACTCCTTTTCTAGAGGGACAACAGCACATCACACTTGCTGCTTTGCAAAGTGTCTCTGATGGCAAGACAGGTTCAGTGGGACTTCAGCAGCCCCAAACCTAACTCTGAGCCAATGCCCCCTCTCTAGGCTTCGGTACCATTGCAATGAGACAGATTAGTGCAAAGGATTCTGCAGCTGGGTTGCAGTAATCAAGATATTGGGGTCCCAATTTGAGAAGACTTCAAGAGCCCTGGCTCTCAGAAGGCAGGGGCTCCATTCTTGCCTTGCTTCCACCCTCTGCCCCAGCTTCTCCTCAGGTTCCTGTAGATTATAAACTTGTTGGGACCTAAATAGCCTCTCACCAGGTGGCTGCATGGCGTGCAAGGCACAATGGGGCCTGCACTGGAACAAAGCCTCTGGCCTTCCTTAATGCCAGTGAAAGAGCAGGAGGAAATTTCTCCTTCAGTGAGACAAGGCAGCCTCACCACGTCCCCATAAGCAAGCTGCATGTTTAAGAGTTTCAAGCTAGAAAGAAACTTTCAGTGAAGCCATATCCAAAGGGCAGGATGGACAGAGCCACAGAAAACCCAGAAAGTGGCCTCTGCAGCTTTGATGGATGCGGGGTGGGGAAATGTTCACCTACCACTATGGATGTCCACAGAGATGTTTTCTACTCCTCTCTTCACGGTTCTTGGCCGCCCTTGCTCTGCAGGGCTTGAACCCCAGTCGTCAGAGACAGTTACTGGATGGTAGTGCACCATAAGCTGGAAAGCAGGAAGAGAAGCATGTTAACATGCTGGAATGCAAGTAGCTTAAGCATCTTCTGCATAGGGGGACAGAAAGCCCACGATACACCTGGTCAGTCTCATCAAGATCACACCAGAGAGCACAAGCAAGAACACAGCAAGGGCAAACCTTTCCAGACATTTCATAAGGAAGGACAGAGGTTGACACCAATCCTGAATGGACAGAGGTCACTGCTCCTAAACATATACCGCCAATGCCCTGTTCTCCCAAGTCCTTTCTGCGCTTGCGCTACACTATAGTTAAACTTTCTGTACAACTCAGTTTTGCACTGCACTTTCCGTGCTCAGTTAAAATTGGGGAACCATGTTTGCAGGTATTCGGCTGCCTCTGCAAGCCAATGTTCTGAACTGCACCAGTTGGAAAACAAAATGACACGTTCTTGTTTCCAAAACAACTGAGCTCCTGGCAGGTAACTACAGCTATGGATCACAAGTTACAAGGCTTCTGTGAAGTTGGGGAGGCCTTACCTATGCGGCATGTGTATGTGTGTTTTAAGGCAACTGACCAGTTTGGCAACAAGGGCAGTGTTATGCCCGAGGATCTGGGTTGATTGCTCTGCTCTGCTAATGAGTGTCCTGTGAGGCCCTGGGCAAGTCACCTGTTCCACTTACGCCAGCTTGTCCGTTTATAAAAGAGTATGTAGCTAAGGGGATGAGAAGTACCATCACAAGCAGACTGGTGTCTATACAGATAAGAACTGTGTGGACCAGCCCTGAAACCAGAAGGCAAAGAGCGACATGCAGTGTCCTCTCCTCCATTCACTGGGCTCTGCCCCAGCTCCTGGTTGGGGAGCATTCAGGTCATCCTTACCTTGGGGTTGTGCAATATAATGATTTCTCTGTTCGGGGACTCAAGTTTCTTTTTCCACTCATCCAGAGTTACAGCGATCATGTAAGCTTCCTGCGGAGAAGAGCATCCCTGGTGAGGCAGGCAGACATGTTTCCATGGGAACTCGGCCACTGGAGAGGCTTGTCTCATCTCCCATGGCCCCCCATTCTAGGCTAGCTCTGGACAGGGCTTTATAGTTTCGGGTCTCTGCGTCAGCAGAGTCGACAGCCTATGATCCTGACCCTTCCCATTTCCATGTGACTATCTTTATTCACATGTCCTTGGCATCTGCGGGACCTTTTGCCTTGCCTAGTTGACTGGCGAGTGGCAGTGTTTGCAAAACCAGGTCCTAGATTAGATCAACGCAGGAAGTTACAGCAGTCAAGAACAGGGGAAAGCAAACAGGTCTGCAGCTTGACAGACCCAGCTACATCGGAGATGCTGGCAGAAGGGGAGAGCTGCAGGGTTTACAGCGGTGCTGGCAAGATGGGCAAAAGTAGCCCTAACGCCTATCTCTAGTAAGCCCACATCCTAAAGCAGGAGCATGGCACAGGGAGCTTGGACTGTTACGGAGTTGCCATTACTTCAGTAAAAGCCCAGAAGGCTTGAGAGTAGCCCAAAAGGAGTGGAACTTATCAGATAAGGCAACTTTACCTCCAACTCCTCGCTGAAGCTCTCCGAGTAAGGGACATACTTATTGTCCTTTTCTCCCTTATAAAACCAGGTGCAGCGCCTTACTTCGGACACCTCTTCCTCCCAGTACACGGCATAGCATTGCCTCTGCTTCAAATGCACATTGTATCTGCCCCCCGCTGTCGGAACGACCAGCTCTTCATCGTCTTTCCCTGCAAAGGACAAGGGCTGAGATGAATCACAAACAGACCAGACTGGCTTGTTATCAAGGTTTGGACTATGGCAGCTATAGGGAAGCAGGTTTCAGCAGTTTGTGTGTGGTGTTTACCCAGGAACTGTACATATCTTGATAGCAAAACCTAGTCAGCATCAAAAATATCAGATAACTTTGATTTTCAAATACAATTTCCTTACTGGAATAAAGAGAGGAGATCAGATAAAGCCACACTCATTCAAAGCAGAAAAGTGACCTAATTCTGCTACAGACTGGTCTGACCCCATTATTTAGATTGCAGGCACAGTATGCTGTGTTCAGCTGCACACATCACCCATACACGGCAGCCAGCGTCCCCTCTAAGCTGTGTGGTGTGCACGGCTGCGTGCCAGTCAGCTTAGAGGGAACACTGACAGCAGCCCAAACCAGACACTAGGGACTAACTTCATCCACTGACATCCAGAACCTTGGTGCACTGGTGACAGGATGAGAGGGGCCAGGCACATCAAAGCTTTACTCTGATGGTTGTCCTTTGTGGCCCTGCATGTCTGAAGTCTGACAGCAGGACTAGGAAAGGGCAGGTGAGTGTAGCTTTACATGTAGGGACACCACAAGGCTCAGGGTGAGCACTATCATTATGCAAGAGATGCTACACATATGAATAAGACTATCCATTAAAGAATCTTGGCTGCTGACTGGAGAGCCCTGCCCTCTTCCTGAGGATAAATCCACAGCAAAACAGGAGATTTAAGGGCCAGCCTTCCCAGTGGTGGAATTTAGCCAATGCTGCTTCCCACATAACTCCCTCTCACCTAATTAATAGTCTCTTGTACATGAGAAGAGTGCGCATTGAGTTAACGAGACCTGAACATAGGCTGTATCCAAAGGGACTATTTGTTTGTGTATTTAAAGTAATATCAACAGGCCCCTTTAAGGAAGGAATGCTTCCAAAAGAATATAATCTGGTCCAATTTAAAATGCCAGAGGGAAGAACAGAAACTGTGCAGGATGTTCAGAATATTTCTCCAAGTTATGGCTTCTAGCTCCAAGGTATCATTAGTCAGTACAATGCAAGTCAAATTTTTAGCAAATTCAGCACTTGTGCAGTGCCTACAATGAATTATCTCATTACTCGTTTATGCCAGAACCCCAACGGGTTCTGAGGTTAGATATTACTATTTTTAGAAACAGGGTTACTTAAAATAGAGCTTCATAGATTTTGAAGCTGAACAAACCTGAGATCATCCTGCCCAGCGCACTGTGGTTTGACACAGGATTTGCTAGTGTTTTTATCTGCTCCTGCCTGGAGGCATGGGGACTCTGAGTGGTTGCAAAAACCAGCCCAGGACTTGCTACACTTCTCTGCTAGGAAGCTTCTCACAAGAAGCATGTTCAACTTACTCATCTTTTGGGCCGCTTCCAACTTCTCCGAGTCCTGTGTGCTGAAGGGGATCCATCTCTCTCGGGAATCTGTGACCTTGCAGTAAAACCAGTGAGGAACCACGGCTTCGTACTTATTTGCAGCATCTGCCTCTACCACCTCAAAGGAGCTGGACGAATTGGATGACAAGGAAGCATCTGCCGGTTGCTGTTCCACGGCTGACATCACGCTGCCCGAACAAAGGAAGGGAGAGAGGGGACATGCTGAATTTTTATTTTATAAGAGCCTCTGAGTTGTTTACCAAGACTCAGAGCAGAAACACAGAGACACATACAGGTGCACTCATACAGTCCTGCCAAGACCGGCACCGTTTTTAAGCAAATAAAGCGGATTGATTGATAAATAGCTACAAACGAGAGAAGGCCAGCTGCATAGATAGTTTACTAGTTGCAAACTTATTGTCGTCCTAATCCAAGATGCATTCAGCAGGCATCTGTGACAGGCCCAGAACAAGAAAGACTGATACCAGTTGGCTCCGCTGACTCAAGCACAAAACGTCCAAAAGGCAAGGGATCTACACAGCTTGGCTGTAAAACTGCCACAGAAACATGAAGAGAGCCTGTGAGAAGATGGCAAAAGCCATCAACAGCGGTAAGAAACAAAGGACAACCCAGGAACAATGTTCCTTTTTGGACACCGAGCAAAGATACTTCACTGAGCTGGGAGAAATGTTTTAGGAGTCATGGCGACCGTTCTGTTATGCTGGTCCCTTACCAGCATTTCGGTGTTCTTGCTGCTTGCACCTTCAACTTTGTAAGCGTGCCGAGCTTTTCTCTGAGAAACATTTCATGGCATGCTGACCAGCACAACTGACCGTCTGCTACAGCACGCCTGAACAGCCCTCATTCCTCCTCGTTTTACTCAATTTGCTTTTCCCCTGTGCAGAACCACGTCTTATTACTACTCAAAAAGCACAACTGCCAGAGCAGCACTTTTAGTGGAAAGAAGGTCGTCTGCAATTTTCTGAACGTGGGAGCACAGAAGGGTATTAAGAAAGGTGGCAGACAGCCTAGGAAATGTTGTCCCTGACTTTTGCCACCAAGCCAGTAACATTTTGCAAGCAAAATTAGACTTTGATCTAGCTGTCAGCTCGATTAAATTCAATAATCGTAGCCAGGAGTAACACCACAGAACAGACACCTTGCCCCAGAACAATGCCGCCTTTACTTTCAAAGGGTATTTCCTGTATCTGTCCATCCTTGCTTCCAGCTGAGTCACAAAGCCCTTTGCAATGAAGGAACCTGTCCTTGCAGTGTCCCAAACACCTTGATAAGCTTATCGGCCTTACTGATGTGAAACCAGGCACAAAGGTCAAGTGAGTTGTCCAAGGCTGCGCTGTGAGTCAGTGGTAGCCTTAGAGAGGGAGTCCGCGTCTCCCAGCTGTGTACATCAGCCGCAAAGCCGTAACACTGAAAGCAAGTTCCCCTTCTAATCTGACCCCTTTTCCAGCTGGGGTCCGACGGTCTCGCAGCTGGGCCCTGTCCTGAGCAGCTTCAGTGTCAGCCTTAGCGCTGCCGGGGGCGGGGGGGGGGATGAAGC